TCCTTTCCTGAGCTGTTCCGATCCCAGGAGCAGCTTCTGGAAGTAAGGGGGATGGATGAGGTAATAAAAAGAAGCTGAGGCCCTCCCCAGAGCATCAGCAGGGTGATACAGGTATCAGGAGACCTCTCCTCTCTTATTCTGGGACTTGTGTTGGTGTGGTTTTAGAAGAGAATGTATTAAGTATGGCATATGTGCTTGAATTCCCCAGGGGCGCCTTGCTATAAGGCAAACTTGAATTCTTACATCTATATATGGTCTGAGACTCTGTGTTTTTAGCAAGTTCCCAGGTGAGGCCACGATTGCAGGCTAATGGCCACACTTGGAATCACCTATGGGTCTGGGAGATTGGATGATACCAAGGAGAGACAGCCAAGATATACGGAGACTGAGGATTGATCGAGAAGAGTGCTAAACCAAGGGAAGCTGATGCATGAATGGAGGGAGTCAGAGACTGGGGTGGGGGTACAGAAGGACAGGGCAACAAAATACCCAAACCAAAGAAAACAGAAGACGTTAAGGAGACAGTTGAGAAGCAGCGAGACAGAACCACAGATGGAAAACTGACCAGTCCAGAAAGACTGCCAAAATCAGGGGAAGGAGGCAAGACATGACAAGGAGAGACGCCACAGCTTGTTGTGGGCAGCCTGGGACCCGTGCCAACACAGGATCCCAGTCTCAACCAGCAGTGAAGGGATGGCGCGCCTGAAGAAGAGAGACCTGTGAGGGCGCAGGTGCACAGACCTGAGTCCCAGCTCCCTTGTTCGTGAGCATCCCCACGCCTGGATCACCCTTTCCCAGTCCCAGAGAGGAATACATCACTCCCAAACCTATTACCCACTGCCTCCTTTCTCCTGTGTATTCAGCCTTTCCCCAGACTCTTCCAGAAGGTTTTAAATAAGTTCTAGTCTTTTTCATTTTTTTTTTTAAGACCGGGGTAGTGGCGCACACCTTTAATCCCACTACTCAGAAGGCAGAGGCAGGCAGGTCTCTCTAAGTTCCAGGACAGCTAGGCCTATATAGTGAGACCCTATCTCAAAACAAACAAACAAAAAGACTTTTTGGAGCCATGTCACACCCCTGTGGTATTGCACACCGCCCCGCCCCCCCCTTTTCCTAGCTGAAGATCCTGAAGGAATTGGCTCCTTCCTCCCACTCTACAAACATCCCTGGCTAAGGAGGACATTAAGTCCCTAACCATTCCCAGCTCTCTCTCTCTCTTTTTTTGGTCTCCCGGCAGCTTTGGGTCCCTCAACTCTCCCTCCTTGCCATTTCTGGGGATTGCTATCCCTCCGTGTTTCCTCTTGCCGGCCCTTTTCCAGCCTCTTTGTCAGCCAGTCCTCCACATCTGATCCTCAGATCCTCACAGCTGGGTCCCAAGCAGCCTCTTCACCCTCTTCATACCGGGTTTTTTTTTTTTTTTTTTTAAACTTAGCTTCTTCCAAACTCACAGCCTTGATGATCTTCTCTAGCCAGAACCTCATGAGACCCGTGTTTTGGTCACACAGTGTCTGCTCCCACTTCAAACTCCACACAGTTAAAGCCAGGTGTATATTCCTCCTTCTCTCACACTGGTCCCCCTCCCAGCCTTCCCTCTCAGCACACCGTACTGCACCTCCCCTCCCCCAGCATCACCAAACCCTTCCTTCTCCAGATGCCTTCAACTTGCTCATTCCTCCCCATTTCCAACGCCATTTTCCTCGTCCAAGCCTCCGAGCTCTCGCCCCCTCCCCATGACTGCAACAGCCTCCTGAGCAGCCTCTCCAGTCACATAGTAAACAACGGGAGCTTTGCAAACTGCAAATACAGTCACAGAGTCTGCTCCTTGTGACTTTTGTAGAATTAAAGCAAGTCCGGCTCAGAGATCTTTCTAGGATCGCGTCACTTGTGCTCCGTGCCCTCTAGCCATTCTGGCTTCCTTTCAGTTCCTTGAACACCAACCTCCTTTCTGCCACAGGACATTTGATTGTGCAGTTCACTCCATATAGAACTGTGTTATTGGTACCAGGTATGGTGGGACATGTCTTTAATCCAAGTCCTTGAGAAGCAGAGGCAGACAGATCTTTGTAAGTTCGAGGCCAGCCTGATCTCCACAGTGAACTGGGTTGTCTATGGCAATGATCACTGGCCATATGTGGCTGGCTATTGAGTACTTCAAATATGGCCACTGGGCAACTCAAAAAATTGAATTCTTAGTGCTGACTGATTGGTGACATTTAAAACTTAAAAATATTCGGGCTGGAGAGATGGCTTAGAGGTTAAGAGCACCGACTGCTCTTCCAGAGGTCCTGAGTTCAATTCCCAGCACCCACATGGTGGCTCACAACCATCTGTAATGAGATCTGGCGCCCTGTTCTGTATACATAATAAATAAATAAATCTTTAAAAAAAAAACTTAAAAATATTCAATTTAATTATTGCAGAATTATTCCTAAAACAACTTGAGTATGCAAATCTCTTGCTTCCCTCAGTCTTGGTTTGTAGGAAGTCTAAATACAATTTAAGTTTCTGGCAATAATTTTAGCAACAGAATGATATTATACTATATGTACAAACATATGCACAGAATGTGGGAGACTTAGTTAAAAACGTGAACGATTTCTCTAATAATCATTTATGTTGATGACATACTATGGTCGGTGATGACATGCCTTTAATCCCAGTACCTCAGAGGCAGAGGCAGGCAGATCTCTGTGAGTTCCAGGACAGCCTGGTCTACACTGGAGAAACTCTGTCTTGAAAAACAAAGCAACAACAAAAAGACAGTATTCTGCCTGTATTTGCTTAGGAAACCAATGTTGGGCTAGATGCATTGTGGCTCCTAGGCAATTTGAAATTCCATGTGGCTCACAGATGTCTTCTGGACACACTGCTCTATACTGCCTTTCCTTGGTCAGGCTTTCTCTCTGCCTCCTGGAGCCACTGAAGGAGCAGCCCCGCTCTGCCACACCCTGATGCCTCCGTAATCAGGAATGGAACCCAGAGCATCCAATGACATACAGGCAACAGCAGCCAGTGCTTCAGAAACACAGGCCACCCAGGGTTCCTCGATACCCTGGGAGCTGCTTATCTGATATCCCTCCCCACAGCTCCCTGTAGACCCCCTTTGCCCCAAAGACAAGATGTCTTTTGTGATGATATCTCACTCACTTTCTTTAGTTTGCTGGTTTGATGTGTGTGTGTGTGTGTGTGTGTGTGTGTTTAGGTGCCTGAAGAGTTTAGAAGAGTGTGTCAGTTCCTCTGTTTTTAACAGTTGAATTCTTCACTCCAGCCCCTAGCTTGCTTTTTATTTCTTTGCTTGGTTGGCTAGTGGGTTTTTTGAGACAAGGTCTCATGCAACTCAACCTGGCCTCATTCTCACTATGTAGTTGAGGATGACCTTGAACTCTCTATCCTCCTGTCTCTGGCTCCCAAGTGCTGGGATGGCAAGTGCGAGCAGCGCGGTCTTGGCTTATATTTGTTTATTTGTTCTGGTGGTTCTGAGCATTACTTTTGGAGTCTTAAGCATGCCATGCAGGTGACCTACTACTGACCCCCAGGTATGGTCGGTGGCTTCATAACTAAATCTTTTTCTGTCTTCTCCACCCTTAAGAACTTTAACCTTTTAAAAAATTTTTGAAGATTTTAAAAAATTACATTGTTTATTTACTGATTGTGTGTGTGTGTGTGTGTGTGTGTGTGTGTGTGTGTGTGTGTGTGTGTGTATCCGTGTCTCTGTGCGCATGTGGAGGTCAGAGGATAACTTTCAAGAGAGTCACTTCTCTCCTTCCACCATATGAGTCTCAGATCAGATACAGATCCTCTGGCTTGGTGGCAAGTACCTTCATTGGCTGAGCCCTCTTGCTGGCCCAAGACTTTAATCTTTATCTTAAATCCTTCTCATTCTTCAGAGCTGGTTGCAAATCTCTCCTGTTCTGAGAAGCCACCCTGGGATAAAGTCTTTGATCTTAGGTTTCTTTGTGTAACAGCCCTGGCTGTCCTGGAACTCACCCTGTAGACCAGGCTGGCCTTGAACTCACAGAGACCCACCTGCCTCTGCCTCCTGAGTGCTGGAATTAAAGGCGTGCACCACCACTGCCCGGCTAAAAGTCTTTGATTTTTGTCTCACTGTTTTTTTGTTTGTTTGTTTTATTTTGTTTTCACTTTCACAAGCTCCGTGAATCTGCCTGCCCTGGACTCCCTCTGTCTGCACGTGGGGTCTTGCCTGCACCTTCATTTGATGAACATCTGTCTCTCCCATCATCCCCTGAGCTTTGTGAGAGAAGGCGGAGTCTGACCCTCTCGGGAAGCCAACCACTTGGTCCAGAGTCTGGTTTGCAGTAATGCCAGCAGATACCAGAATGCCACCCGAAGTCACTCCACCCACCCCTGTACCTTTGGTCAGGGCAGTCCCCAAACATTGTCAGAGAACCTGCTCTCTCCCTCCCCCAGGAGTACCCTTTGGTACACAGACCCTGACCTCCCAGATGGAAGTCCTCCCACGGAGCCGGCCTGTACTTACTTCTACAAAGGAATCGAGGTGGTGCTTCTTGATTAGGATGTGTGTGCCAATCACCTGGAGCCTGGCTAACAGGCTGTGGCACACTTGGTCTGGAACGGCACCTGAGTCTCATTCTCAACAAGCTGCTTGCCAACAAGGTCACAGCTGGCCCACAGACCACATTCTGATTAACAAGAATGCAGATGGGTCTGGAGAGATGGCTGAGCGATTAAGAGCACTTGCTGCTTTTGCTGAGGATCTGGGTTCAGTTCCCGGCACCCACACCAGCAGGTCACAGCCTCCTGCAACTCTGGCTTCTCTGAGTACCCGCATGCATACGGTGCACATAAACTCACACAGGCGCACATTCATTCAGATAAATGTTTTAAAATCTTTAAAAAAATGCAGAGAACCTGGTGACCATCTTCTAGGTATCAATAAAGTTAGCCATAAGGCTATTAGAGGGCTTTTAAAATTAGGCTCCATCTCTCCTTGTTCCTATGTGTACCCACTAAACCTCATACCCTGAAAATGAATGGACAGCATTTTTTTCTTTTTAATTTGAAATAAACCTTTAAGCAGTTTCCAAGTCAGGTCATCCCCGACATGTACCACGGATGTGAAATGACTCTCATCTCCAACAATCAAGTCACGCAGCTGGGAGTGCCACTCAGGACCGGGGAAAGCACTCTCCCCCTTGGCAGCTGCTCAGCTTTGGCTCTAGTCTGCCATCCACCTGGCAGGCACTGTCCCAGCAATTCCTCCAGAAGGTTCCACTCCTTGAAGTTTAGGTTCAGATGCTAGGAAAGGTTCCGAGCATCTTCTGAGAGCATCATAAACTGAGTGGGTACAGCTAGGCCACAGGATGGAAGTATCTTCGGTGACCTCAAGAATGTGTGTGTGTGTGTGTGTGTGTGTGTGTGTGTTGATGTTTTCTGATGTGGCCATATGTGTGCCTGGATATGCATGGATGGATGGATGGAGAGACGGATGGGTGGGTGAGTGGACAATGTGTGGACTTGCTGTCCCAGATGCTCCAGTTCTGGAAAGTTCTCATTATGCAGTACAGCACAAGACTCTTCCACACAGATCTGGAGACTGGTCACCGTGCCTAGGTGGGTCCTACTGACGTGAGTGGTCCTGCTGTCCCTGGCTGTGGCTGCTGCTGCCCCTTGTGTCTCCGAGAGTTGGCACCTGGCTCCTTGCTGTTCTTCCTAGCCGTATGCCTATTGGCATTCTCCCTCCGGCCTGGACCCCCCTTCCTCCTCTTCTGCCCTGCAACAATCACATAGTGAAGAAAAATCAACAAAGGTGCCCAAGGGTCCTCAGAAGGTCATGGCAAGGAAGCTGGGTGGGAAGGCAATAGGAGCCTCTTCTGGCTGCAGTCTCTTCAGGGGACCTTATAGCATGAGTACAAGAAACAGTCCCTAGAGACTTGTCTCCACCCCACTCCACAGTGCACACCAGCCACCCTCCTTCGCCTCAGTCCTTGGACTCCAAAGACCTAGAGCATTTCCTGGCTGTTCAGTGAAGGTATCAGAACAAGTGGAACAGTCCCTACTCCCTGCCACCCACAAGGCTACCCCTGAGACCAGGCAGGGTGGGCAGCATCTACCTTGTTGCCAACTTCAGGCTCTGTGGCCTTGTCTGAATGGGTCCAAGTCTCTGGGGCTTAGCCCACCCCGACCCCCTCCGTTTTCCCAGGGCCTTTCTAGAATGAACATCCAGAAGAAATGGGACAGGGATCATGCCCCACAGAAGTTTCTAATTTCTGCCACAGAGCATCTCAGGGCACTGTCCTCAGCCTGGATAGGCCCCCAGTTTGCACAGCATGGGAGATCCGGCAGGACGTAGCTATAGCTGACCCCATAGGCAGAGGCTGCAGCTCACCCTCAGGACATGGCGTCCTGCGCACTGTACACTTCCGGGTCTCTTTGGTGTCAGTGCAGGAGGCGTGGTCTCCTCCAGGAGCATGGAGCACCCTGCGCGTCCGCTCTTCCGATCCCTTCCGGAAACCGCACAGCTTCCTCTTCTTGGAGCAGGGCCCCCACGGGGACCACTCACTCATTTCACATTGTGCTGACAGGAGGTGAGGTAGGAGGGAGGGAAGGAAGAGGCAAAGCCCTCCCCACCCCCACCCCCGAGTGCCCCAAGGAACCCTCACCCACACACCCACCCACCCACCCAATCTCAGTCCAGACCTCAGGTGTGAGTTCTACAGACCAGAGGCAGAGGGCACAAAGAAAGAACCCCAAAATGTGGTTGCGAAAGGTGAGCTTTCTCTTGCCCCGCCCTTTCACTCTGTGGCCATCAACCTCTTTCTTTCATTCTTTTTTTTGTTGGTTTGTTTTTTGTTTTTTCGAGACAGGGTCTCTCTGTGTAGCTTTTGGAGCCTGTCCTGGAACTCACTTTGTAGACCAAGCCGGTCTCGAACTCACAGAGATCCACCTGCCTCTGCCTCCCGAGTGCTGGGATTAAAGGCGTGCCCCACACCGCCCGGTGGCCATCAACCTCTTTGAGTTCCATCAAGCTCTCTGCTCTGGGCTCTGGGTCCTCTGCTTCTGGCACCCCTCCTTACCAGGACTGCTGCACTCCATGGTGCTGTTGGCTGCGGTGGAGCCCTCGGGACAGGCTGGGTAGCAGCGGCCCTTGTGCAAGTACAGGCCCTCCTGACACTTGGTGCAGAAGTTGTGGCTGAAGCAGGCCTCACAGTGCTCAATCTTGCATTCTGAGGACAGGAGCAGAATGGAGTTTGCCCAGGCTAGGATGGGTACATTCTTTTATCCCCAGCCCCAAAGCCTACTGCTCACAGCCACTCACAGAGGTCAAGATCTTGGTCTAGAGTTGGGATTCCTGCGGAGGAATCTTTCAAAGGGGGAGGGGGCTGAGAGGACGCTTAAGTAGTCACTTCTGAGTACTGACTGGGACTCTTGCCAACAACAGCCAACCAGAACCCAAACGAAGTCTCAGATCCTGGAACCCAAGATGAGGCCCAAGGGTTTCTGGGAGGAGGGGCCTTCCGGGCTTGGTGGAGACAGAGAGGACGGTTTCAGCATCCCATGGCATCCTAGGGCCCTTCTAAAAAGAGTAGGACTGAATGGGAGGATGAACCCCCAGGCAGCACCTGTGTGGCACCCCTTCTCATATTGCTGGGCACCCCAGCACCCCAGCATTGGATCTCTTCCTGCCCAGGGCAGAAAGAATCTTCTCAGAAGAGTGGGCGCAATCCCAGGGCAAATTCCTCTCCCTGTGCAAAACCAAGTTCCAGGAACCCCTGGGTTGGACTCCCGGGTCCCTCCCTCCCTCCTTCTGCCAGCTCCCTCCTTTGCGGGAGGTGGGCAGAACAGGGCTTGGCTGGGAACAGACAGGCCTTCCACCATCTCCCCTTCCCAGACTGGGAGGTACTGGCTTCCTCCCAGTCTCTGGCACTAGAAGTGCCAGCTGCCAGCCTACCAGACTCTGGCACATCCAGGAACCCCCTCTTTCCAAATGCCCTGAAGACCAAGAGGGCAACTCCCAGGGCCCACCTCACCTCATTGAGCTACCCACCCACCTCCTTCTGTACCTTCCTCCCGGTGGCTTAATTTCAACTTTGCCTCCCTTACTCCTGCCCTACCCTGCCTCCCGCTACCCCCACCAGATGCTTAGATTCCTGGGTTTGGTTGCCAGTACAATAAGAACCAAAATAACAATAGCAGCTCCCATTTATTGAGTGCCAGACACCAGGTTTATAGGTGTGTTTCCCAACAACCCAAGGAGGAAGGACTAGCACTCCCAATTTAAGGATGAGCTGTCAGGGGGCTGAGATACACTCAAGGTCATACATCGAGCTAGTAACCAAGCTGAGATCAGAATTCAGAAGGCTGCGCTGGCACCAGGCATCTCCCCTCCATGGCTCTAAATTATCAGCTTTAAGAACCTACGGCCCCTCCTGCCCAGCCTCCCTCCAAAGGCTTTTGTGAGGCTCAGTGATCTGAGATCTGGAAATGAGTTAGTTCTACAGTCCAAGGCACTGAATTGAGGGAGGAAACACTGGTATGGCTCACAGGTACAGGTTCACTGGGTGCTCCCCCACCCCGAATGTCCCAGTTGTAGTTACAGGGACGGGATGGGAACAGGGCAGCATGTGTCTTGCAACACATGGTGGGTGCTGTGGCTGGGGTGACAAAGGCAGAGCCAGAAGCCAAGGGGAGCCATGAAAAAGCAGAGTGGCCAGACGGGGTTCCCTGAAGCCAGGGTAGAGCTGCCACTAGCAGCAGGAACATGTGTGCCAGGTTGTAAACCTCGAAAACATCTTGGTGGCTGCAGTGCAGAGGGTGGGCTGGGTGGACAGGCTATGGAAACGGTGTAGGAGACAGGTGTTGGGAGTCTAGATATGGCAACGGGCAGGAGGGGAACAGTGGCTGAGTTGTGATGAGTGAGTGGGTTGGGAAGCACAGTGAGAGACTGACTTGACCGATGAGTTGGGACAGTCAGAGTGACCTGTGGGAACAGAGGTAGGTGCAGATACCGGGAGAGGAGGGTGGAGTTCTGGTTTGTACCCAGTGGGATCGTGGGTGGAGCATCTAGGAGGCTGTCTGCCTGTACCTTTGAAACAAGAGCCTCATTTTTTTTTTTTTTTTTAAAGATGAGGATCGAACCCAGGGCCTTGCGCTTGCTAGGCAAGTGCTCTACCACTGAGCTAAATCCCCAACCCGAGCCTCATCTTCTTTCCTGTGCCCCCTCTACACTACTCACCGGCCATTACTAACTAGTTCAAAGCAGGGCCTCTCCATCCCCACCCCCACACTCACTGATGCATTTGTTCATGTCGGGGTTTCGGGCATCAAAGTATCCAGGCGGGCAGGACGGCAGGCAGACGCCCACCTGGCGGATGTCGTTCCTCTCCAGCAGAATGAACAGCTTGGGCGAGCACTTGAGGCAGCCGTTGACTTCTGAACAGAGCTCACAGCCCTTGGCACAAGCTTGGCTCCCCTCAGCGCTGACTGCAGGGCAGAGTAAGGATGAGAAGGTGGCTGTAGGGGAAACCGCAAATGTCCAGGTTCTCACAGAGATGGGGGCGAGCCTTTGGGGGCTTCATTGCACAAAGGGAATGTGTATCTCAGAGGCAGGGGGCTGGGCGAACAGCTCCCTGCAAAGGCTGCCTTAGGCACAAGCCCAGAGCCCTAAGCAAGTAGCGAGTGTAGATGCCTAGATCTGCACCACCAACTTCTTACTGCCCCAGCACATCCTGAAGTCTATACACTTGTTCTTTATCCCCAGAGATGAAACTCAACCTGTACCTTCCCGGAACTTATCCTCATTCTCTCCAAGGGAGGAAACTTCAGCCTCAGGTACCCAAGGAAGCTTTTCAATTGCTGATAAAGTTTTAAGATCAAGAGGGATTCTGGATTAAAAGTTCTAAGGAGAAAGACAACTACAGTAACCTCTGCCTAGAACAGTGGTCTCAACTTGAGAGATTCCTAGGAGACATTTGATCAACCTTTTTTTTTTTTTTTTTTTTATGAATGAGTCTCTTGAAGTCAGAAGATGACAGTGAACTTCTGTCCCCCTGCCTCCACTTCCTGAATGCTAGGATCCCAAGTAGATGCCACCACATCTGATTTTTGTGATACTGGGAACCAAACCCAGGACCTTGTACATTTAAGATAAGCACTCTATGAAGTTAAATCCCCAACCCTAGGAACTTTAAAAAAAACAGATTTATTTTAATTTTATATGTATAAGTGTTTTGCTTGCGTGTATATATCCGCACCATGTGCATGCCTGGTGCCCTCGGAGGTCAGAGGAAGGCCTCAGATGATTGTGAGCCATCATGTGGGTGCTGGGAACTAAGCCCAGGTCTTCTACAATAGCAATAAGTGCTCTTAACTGCTGAGCCATCTCCCCAGTCCCTGGGGACTTTTTTGATCATTATGACCAGAGGAAACAGTTGCTACTGGGCATCAAGGGAGTAAAGAGAAGACCGTAAGCATTCTCCATTATGTGGGCCAGCCCTGGACAAAAAGAACCATGTGGTCTAAAACATCTGTGATGCTGAGATTGAAACATCCTGGTTTGGTGCTTTCCTTGAAGGCAGTGTGACCTTCCACAACAGCCCTGAGACTCAGCTTTCATTCTGTCCCTTCATTAACTGTTCAACCCCCACTCACCCACCACCTTCCATGTGCCCCATTCAGGGTGTGCTCAGAGGTCAAATGTCAAATTAAACTGGGCCTCTTTGTAGAGGGACTGGCCTTCAGCGGGGCAGACACCTATTCATACGTGAGGGCTGGCAGCCCCAAACCAGCAACAATGGACTCAAGAGTCCAGGAAAGGCCGACATGATGGCTCATGCATGTAATCCCAGTATTCCAGGCAGGAGGTTATGAGTTTGAGGCCAGGCTAGGGCAATATATTAGTAAGAAGACTGTCGAAGGAGGAGGAGGAAGAGGAAGAAGAAGGGAGAGAAAAGAAAAAGAGGAGGAGAGAGAAGAGAAAGGACTCTCAAAGGAGGTGCCACGGTGTCCCTTCTTGAAGGATCAGTAGGAATTTGTCCTTCAGAGAGTAGAAATAAGGGTCCTGAGACGAACAGGACCAGAGAGGGGCAAGGGAATGCGCAGATAATTTGGGGCGGGAATGTTGGGGGATAAGGTGTCTTCTGTCTGTATCACACTAAGGAGCTTCAGTCCTGTGAGCAGTGTTTCCCTTCAAGCACCCTTTGCATAGGAATCTTCTAGATGTTAACAGAGGATGTGGGCGGTAGGGGGGGGGGGGCAGGGGAGGTGATTGCTGCAGGTGAGACCTGGAACCAGTGCCTGAACTGCATCTCAACGGGATTGTGTGTCTATTTGTTTTAAGTGTGCTATAAACGGAATTGCTTGCCTATTTGTTTTAAGTGTGCTATGGTGCGTGCACGTGAGGGTGCAGCTGTGCACCCTCAGGTGCATGCATACAGAGGCCAGAGAAGGACACTGAGTTTCTTTCTCCCCCACTCTCTGCTCCACTGCTGTGAGGCAGGGTCTCTCACTTGCCCTGAAGACGGCCATTTTGGCTAGGCTCTCTGACCAGTGAGTGCTCATGATCTGCCTGTCTTCTGCCCCACAATGCTAGGGTTACAGGCATGCACAGCCTTGTCTGGTTTTTGCTTTTCTTTCATGTGGGAGCTGTGGATTCAAACCCTGGTCCTCATGCTTGCAGAGCATGTGCTCTTACCCACCGAGCCATCTTCCCCAGTGCATTTGGACTTTGGGCTTTATTTCTAGTAGTAGTGGTTGTGGTTGTGGTTGTGGGTAGGGTAGGTGAGGGGGTAGGTGTGCCTGTGTGTGCGACTGCACTTGTGTGGAGGTCAGGGGACAACCTTCTACCTCTAAATGAAATCTGGGGATCCAACTCCAGTAGTCAGGCTAATGCAGCAAGAGCCTTTACCGTCTCAGCCATCTCGCCGTCCCTGTTTACTTTCTGTTTTAACATTTGTTTGTTTGTTTGTTTAGTGTGTGTGTGTGTGTGTGTGTGTGTGTGTGTGTGAGTGTGTGTGAGTGTGTCACTGTGCATATGGAGAGGTCAGAGGGCAACTTTCAGGTCTCTCCTTCTACCATCTGGGTCCCAGGTCAGGCTTGGCAATGTCATCTTGCTGGCTCTGCTTTTACACTTCAATTTTTATTTACTTTTTAAGTCTTTCTTTTTTTAAGGGAAGAGTTATTTTGTTTGCTTTCAAACCCCGCTACACAGAGTTTCTCTGTGTAGCCATGGCTGTCCTGGAATTCGCTTTGTAGACCAGGCTGGCCTCGAACTCAGAGATCTACCTGCCTCTGCCTCCCGAGTGCTGGGATTAACCTCCATCTTGCTTTTGTCTTTTTGAGACAGGGTCTATACTATGAAACCTGACTGTCCTTGAACTTAATCTGTAGAACAGGCTGGCCTTGAACTCACAGAGCTCCATCTACTTTTGCTTCCCAAGTGCTGGAATTAAAGGTGTGCATCACTATGTCCAGTGTTTTGTTTGTATTTTGAGAAAAGGTCCACTATGTAGCCCAGGCTGTCCTCAAAGTCTCTGTGTAGCCAAGGCTAGCCTTGAGCTCTAGCTCCTCCTGCTTCTACTTCCTGAGTGCTGGGATAACAGGTTTGTGCCACCACATCTAGTTTTATGAAGCTCTAGGGATTAACCAGAGTGCCTTGTGCATGCTAGGCAAGTCCTCTCTGCCGATCACGCTGCTTCCCCAGCTTCGCTCTTTGGCTTTCAAGACAGGGTCTCACACTGTAGCCGAAGCTATCCTGGAACTGCTATGTAGCCCAGGCTTCCTTGAACTTGAAGCCGTTTCCCCACCTCTGCCTCCAAGTGCTGGGATGGCAGGTGTGCGCGACCATGCCCAGCACGTTATTATTACCAACCCTCTTTTCTTCGAGATGAGGAGATGAAGAGGTTAAATTACTGAGCCAGTGTGTGTTCCAGGCATGGGGAAGACAGTCATACGAAAGGCAGATGGAGGCTGTTCAAGAGAGCGCGGAAACCCAGAGCGCAGCTTGATGACTTCTTTAATGTGAAACTTGTTTGCACGGAGTCAGTGGTGCTGAGTTGGTAAAATGAAACATTGCTTTCGTTTCGGCCTGGCGTGCTCACTGAAGGGGCAGCTATGCCTCGCGCTGCTGCGCTGCAACCCTGCGGAGTCTTTGGGCCTTCGTCAGCTGTGAGCCAAGTGTGTGGGTCACTGGAGAGTTTAGGGACTGCTTCCACTTCATGGAGGGGCCTTTGAGTCACTGTCTTGTTTGTCTCGGAAATGAATGTTCACTCTGGTTTTTGGCTTTTGCGTCAATGGGGTGTCCCCTGGCAGGGGGGATTTTATTCCTTTGTTTTTGTTTTCAGCACTGGGGAATGATGCAAGGCCTTTGAGTGCTAGGCAATCAGTTTACCACTGAGCCACATCCCCAGCCCTCTTTTTACTTTTTACTTAGAGATAGGGGTTCACTAAGTTGCCCGGGTTAGCCTTGAACTTGCTTTATAGATCCAGGCTAACCTTGAACTTTTCAAGCCTCCTTCCTCAACCTCCCAAGTCCTGGGATGCTGGGCCTGCACAATGAGGCTCAGCTCTTGATAGCAAGATTTCAACATTCATTCTCTCTTCTTGGCCTCTCTGTTAAGAGCATATTTGCACCTGGTGGTGGTGGTGCACACCTTTAATTCCAGCACTCGGGGAGACAGAGGCAGGTGGATCTCTGTGAGTTTGAGGCCAGCCTGGGCTACAGAGTGAGTTCCAGGACAGCCAGGGCCACACAGGGAAACCCTGTCTAGAAAACCAAACAAAAGAACACATTTGCATAGCATCACCCCAGTGTTCACTGTCCACTCAACCTTGTCACACTGCGTTTTTCACAGTGGATGTTGGTATTGGCTAAGAAAGTGTGCCACACCCAGGGTCAGATTAGCAGGAACACGGTAAGAATGTTAACACGGGAAGCTGAAAGAGAAGAGGGCCAAACCAGGAAGAACCTCAAACCTATAGAAGGAACACAGATACCAGCTCAAAGTCAGCCAGGGAGGCCGACAGGAGCCGTGGTCAGGACTTCACTTTAGAAGGTCCCCCTCAGGACGGGGGACAAGGGGCTAAAGAGGTGGCCAAGGAGGAAGCAGGAAGATGCCCAGGTTAAAACTCTCAAGCAGGGGGCTGGAGAGATGGCTCAGAGGTTAAGAACCCTGGCTGTTCTTCCAGAGGTCCTGAGTTCAATTCCCAGCAACCACATGGTGGCTCACAACCATCTGTAATAAGATCTGGCTCCCTCTTCTGGCCTGCAGGGACACATGCAGGCAGAACACTGTATACATAATAAATAAATAAATCTTTAAAAAAAAAAAAAAAAAAGTTAGTTTAAAAAAAAAAAAAAAAAACTCTCAAGCAGGGAAGGCGAGCGGTATCACTCACCTGCTGTCCGCCCTGAAAGCTCAGGCAGGAGGATTTCCAGTCTGAGGATTTCCAATCTCACTAGGATACTTAGTGAGAACTAGCTTCAA